CGGCGGGCAAGAAGTGAACAAGGTGCGGGCTGTACGGGGAACCTTGTTGGGAAATTTTGGACCGGTGGCGGTTATTTAATGAAAATGGTTTTGCTCAATGGGATTCATGGGTGCTAGACGGAGCAGCGAGGTTCTTTTACCTATACAGGACACCAGAGGCTATGATACCCTGTCGAATCAAAAGAAAGTCATTGTGATTGCACAAAAATACCCGAGTGGCCCGCCTGACTTTATATCTCCGAGCGTCCCGTGCTCGTGCTGCCATGCACATCAGATCAGATCCAGGCTCGGATCGGACAACATCAGCGATCCTGAAATATTGCTAGTTTTTACATTTTCTACTTCTCTTCTCTTTTCTGCAACAGCAAGCTTCGTTAATAATGTGGAAGAGGTCCCCAAGTGTATGAGCTTTGGATACTCCTCTGTCCTGGATTTACAATGCTGAAATGATTGTTAAAAGTCGAAACCTATTTCAGAGTGTGTTGCCTCTGTGTGTCTGTGAGTGGCAGAGGAGCGGATTATCAAATATCCGAAATTATATTTTCTGGGTGCTAACGTCCACGTGACTTGGACACAGGGCTTGCCTTTGCAAACCTCATTGGCTGCCAGATTACCTCAGTAGTGTTAAGGGTCGCTGGGCAACAAGGAACGGACAATCGAATGCTAAGTTTTGTTCCCTTGTTCCCAATTCTTCCCCTCCCCCTTATATCCCTTATATCCTCGCACATACATTTTCTCCTCCTCCAATCCGCACAGTGCCCTAGCGTACCCACGGCTCCAGAATGAATCTGCCTTATGTAATAGTGTAACGACCACGACACCCTCCCCTCCGACGACCGACCGACCTGCTGGACTTCGCCTCTCTGCATTTTCTGTCGACACGAGCGTCACCAAGTTCGACCCGATCCACGATACAACAAGCAGCCTTGGGTAGTGAATATGGTTGCTTATGACCTGACATTACGGTGCTTTTGGTGAGGCTCTCGCTTGGAATTCTGATGCTCAAAAAGAAAGATGGACACTAAAAGATATAATAACCGGTGGAGGAAACTCGCGGTCGGTAGCCTTTGCGGGTTTCATGGAGTGGTTTTGGAAAGGCGATGAATGTTGCCGGATGGAGCTCTAAGCTTCGGATTGGCAAGTCAGTGCCCATGCTGGGTTGAGTGTTCCCAATGGCACCAACTCTTGCTTGTTTCCAACCGCGTTGATGACAAGAGCAACTCTTGTGCTTGTGCTCGAGCCCTTGCTTGACTGTTACCCGTACTTCGCGGATCCAGCCCCGATTGGGTGCGGCGGTTTTTGGACTTCTTGGGTCTCTTTCGCTCCAAGGTCAGCCGCGGTCGGTTTTGAAGTTTCCCCTTGCGCCCTTGTTGCCATCATCAGATTTGTTGCTCCTCGACTGTCAAAAGGACTCGTGCTCTGTGCGCTGGGAGCAAAAGCCAGATCACCCGGGCCTGTTTCTGTCCGATTCTGTTTCTCAGGGTCTTCAATTCAGTGACAAAGTTCTAAATCGAGGGTCTCTGGAAGTGTGGATGAGAAACCCGGATCTTCTGGGGTGGCTGTATATTGCCGCAGTCGACGTTGAAGCCCACGAGACGCGTTCAAGAAGTTTTGGGGTCACGGTGGAAGCCAAAGCGTATTCGTAAGGTCGGTAAGACCAACAGGTCGTCGAAATGCTCGACACGCTCTCCAGCCACTGAATGCTGTTAGATATAGGCCGCGTAAAGAGATGTGCATATTCTCACCTTGTGGGTTGAGAGCGCCCGCTGGAAAGCGAATGGCCAACTTCAGAGGTAAATACTCACAGCGCAGTGAGGAGTATCTGTTGTAAGCGCCTGTCGAGGAAGGTAATATAAGGTGTTGGAAGGTGATATAAGGTGTAGGAAGGTAATATAAGGTGTTGGAAGCCTATGCCAGTGGCGAATTCACTATAATTTTAAGTCAAAGCTGCTGAAATGGCGAAGGCGGTAAAAACTTTGTGGGGAGAGGGGGGGGGAAACGAAGCTAGTGCAAGGATCAAGGCCACCTAGGAGAATCAAACAGATTGTGGAAGAAAGACGAGTCGGATGAGAAGCAGTTTTCGTCACTTGTGGATCAAACACATGGGATGAGCCACATCGCCGAACGGGCTCCAGGAGGATCGCGCCATTGCTTCTGAAACTCGACAAAATTGACCAGGAGGGCGCATGAAACCAGGAAACAAACTTTCATAGCGATGGTTGCTACGACTTCGAAGGATGCGGGTGGTTTTGGTCTCAGGTTTTCGCCTAGTAAATATAGTGATAGGCTCGAAAGAGATGGGGTTTGGTTAGCCCTTGACCAGCCAATGCGGACAGGAGCAGTCGAATTGTGCGGGAAAAGACTCTGTCAGGAAGAAGTCTGTCAGGTGTCCATGGGGTGTTGTTTCGAGCTCATACTCTCAAGCCTCTTCAAGTCTTTGCAGGCTGTTTGCGTTATGGTGGGTTTGGGCCAACAACGCCTGAAATCCAAAAAGACTTTTGTGATGACCGGACCGTCGGATGGCTTCATTCTTTCCAGAACTTCCGCGGGACTAGAAGACAGCCCACGTAGAGAGTAGGTAGGGGCTGAACCTAAAAGTCGTGAGACGGGTTGGGGATAATTTCCCTCGTCGAGCGGTTCAACCACAGTTAAGAGGATAGGGAGCATTGCTGACGAGGCGCAAACGGTCTAGTGTAAAGCTGTAACGCAATTCAGCTCTTCGAAATCCGTTGAAGGCTGCTCAATCACCCAGCCGGTCCCGGTGGTTGGTGCGGGGCCCGCGGATCATTGTATTATCACCGTTAGGAGGACCCGATGTGGCTCCCGGTGTAGACGGCGTGTTGGCGCTGCGTCAACCGGGCATGCTTAAGAGGAGGGTCTGCCGACCTTCCAAGGTCGATGTGTCACTTCACATCATACCTCGTACAATCTTTGTGCTGCTTTATTCTTTCTTTCTCTCTCGATTCCAGAGAGCTTCCGATTCTACCTTCTGGTCACCAAGGTCGGTTGCTTTGAGAAAAATGCCCTTTCTCGTCAATTGCTCACTGATTACTTGATTCCGGCCCACTCATATCATGCTAGGGCATAGCATTTGAAGGGGCTGTGGCTGGGTCGATCTTCCTAGGACCACTAGCGCGGTCTCGGGATATGCAGAGATAATGTGAGTCCACTGTCACATTCTGAAGAAAATTTGACTGAATGGCGCCCGAGCCTCAGACGACGAAGAGTCAAGTGTACGGAGTACCCTGAGGACCCACAGAATAAGAGGCACATTCCGAAAGCGGTTACATCGCACCAAAGATTGGATCAACATTCTTTTATAAAATAACCGAATGGATGATCTCAGCTTCGAAGCCCTATGTGCGGATCGTCAAAGCAATGGCGCCACATAATTACATCTGGAGGCCCAGTGATCCGCCGCAAAGAAATGTTGACACGTGACACAAGATACTACGGTGGGCTGTATGGCCACATGTCACTCATACCCTCTCTTGTGCGCATCCCATCTGCTTTCCTGGTCTTTGCCCGGACTACCAGCCTTTTCTTTGGTCGTCTTCAAGACTGGCTAGAGAGACGTGCTGTGGAAGGCGACTCTTTCTACGTCACGGATTGTTGCGGTGTGGTTTTACCGATGAACTCGGGCGAGGACTTTCTTCACTTCACACAGACCTCCATTTCACTTAGCAAACAGCCACTGGTTTGATTTTCATCGCTGACACCCTGTGTGAAGATTACTTGTCCTTTGCCCTTCGAATATCATTGGACTCGTTTCAATGTCAATCCATAAAGTGTGGCCTGCGCCTCAACGTGGCCGTGTTATATCGCCCGAACCCTCCTTGACGTCGACGCCTTGCCATGAATGCTGGTTCATGCACGCAAGATATCTGCCAGGCTCATTCGTGCGCTCTGCACTCACAAGGTCACACTTGGGCCCGGTGTGTGTGGGCTATGTTTGCAGTGGTGTTGTCTCTCTGCGGCGGTCGACCTGCAGTGCCTGAACATCTTGGATTGGTTGGGAACAGCAGGGATGACACCACCTCAATGCTACAGCCTCATTATCGAGACTCCGGTCATACCGCCTCTAGATGCCACCAACGGTCAACGGATGTAGGCAACGAAATCTACAGCCTCACTACGAGTGTTTTAAAGCGAGAGGCACCCGTGGGCAGTTGACCTGGCTTGACTTTATTCCACCTCTAAATTACATCGACTCGTTGAGCATTCACCAGCCTTGAAAGCTTCCTATCTGCTAATATGGAGGCTTTAGGCCTCGCATTTGCAGTTGCTCCTATCCTGGGAGGTGCTCCCAGGATAATCCGGTGCTGCCGCGGATGGAACCGCGCTCCCACTGACCTCGATCGAGCTGCAACGCGTGTCCAAAACCTGCAAACTATGTATGACGCGCTGTCACTCCTCCACAGCAACCTCCCAGAAGAGCAAAGACAGCTAGTTCCAGACCTCCCTAAGGCGATCGCCCTGGCGTTAGAATCGCTGCCCAAGATACCCACGAAGCGCTCCAAGATAAGCTACTTGCGTTGGCTGACAGGAGACAGAGATGTGCACGAAAGAGTGGTGGCTGAAACGCAACAAGATATGTTGCTGGCTGTGCTAATTTTGGGTCTACAAAGGTAAGAGACTTTTTGGGGTCAATACAGGAGGAGCTTATAGCGCTATGCAGGCTTGCCCAACGGGCAGCGGACGACCGAGACCACGATCACTTATCCCATGATGAAGCAACCCAAGTGCCGCAAGGAATGGAAATAACCACCAGCAACGCAGAGGAATGGGTTGCGACAAAGGAGATGGGCACTCTTACTGCTTTTGCTGCACGATGTTGCATGTCTTTTGGAGGCTGGGTCTTCCGAGAGATAAGTCGTGTTTTCGGGCCAAACAGCAATCTATCGCGGAATTTCGATTCAATGTCGACTCTCCAGGGCACACCCGCACACTATGCCAGTATGCATAATTTGCCTCAGATACTTCTGTATGTGGCAATTGTCATGCGTCGTCTCGTCTGGCAACACTGGCTGAAGGCTTCACCTGGCCAAGATCGCCTTCTGGAATTTCACCGAGTCTCACCAGAGCAAGAGCTTTTGCTAGCTTCTAAGGCGGGCGATGTTGTTCGAATGCAGCAACTCCTTGTTCTAGAACAGGTCTCTCCATTTTACGCCACCACGACGGATGGGGTCACAGCTCTGAATCTCGCAATCGAACATGGTCACCACGAGGCTGTTAAACTGCTGCTTGCTCAGGGGGCCCTCGTGAATAGAGCTTTCGGCTTAAAGGAGACATCTCCGCTATGCTGGGCACTCCAGCATCGACGATTGGAGATATGCAGGACGCTGTTGTCTTACGGGGCTTCTCTCGATCATTTCACGGCTCTTGATTGGACTCCTCTATACTATCTGTGGCCGTGGAAATTGGAAGATGGATTCCAGCACCCTCCAGTGGCCGAGTTCATCAGCATGTTACGCGCCACCGGTGAAAAATTTCACACATTACACGAAGACCATGTAGACAACCATGGATGGAGCTTGATGCACCGTGCCGCAATCTTCGCCGACCCAGCTGACTTGCAACTGCTGCTGGACTACGGCGTGAATGCTTTCACACCCCATGCTTGCCTTGACTGGATGCCACTGCATTTCGTGGTGGAGTACGGAATCAGTGACAATTTCCCCGTCCTGTTCCACGCATACGAAAGGGAATTCGGCTCACGTGCTGCCCTTGAACTCCGAGATTCCAGGGGCTGGACGCCTTTGCATATGGCCGCAGCCAATGGTCATTTTGAGCTTGTCCGGGTCCTGTTGGAAAGGGGCGCTAACCGAAAAGCCCTCACTGGACCGGTCTACGACAGTGACATGCCAGAGAGCGTTCGAGGCAGGAGATGTTCTCCTCAAGAGCTGGCCTGGGCGTCTGGTGAGTTAAACGGTCATTGGTTTGATACTATTGCCGCCGCCATTCCCGAAGATCAATGGTTTGACGCCCCTGAATATCCCGAGGACAGCCTTCTCAGGAAGGCTTTTAAATTCCCCAGGCAAGTGGTGTCGAAGGAGAAGATGAAGAACATGGCTACCTTCTTTCGGCGCTCTCGCCAGTCGTGACAATTGCTTTACGAGGGTCGAAGGTATTTGCGGCCATTGGACACTTTCTCGGAGGTACTGGAGAAGAGAGGTGCAGACGCACGCGCGATCAACCTCCTCGTGTGTTTGGGAAACGATTTCATTTCATGGCACAAAGTTATTTATGATTCTATGACTGTCTTACCTTTACGAACAGAATGATTAACGCTTCAATACGATTCTTGAGTTCCCCAAACGAACAACCGTCACAAGCAAGGTCGCGTTAAAGCACGCGGGCCAGACCGTATCTTTCCTAGTCATCATCATGCCGAAGCAGATAGACCCCCTTAACCTCTAGCCACCCGTGACCAAATCCCGCAAATGCTTTGCTCCTCGCCGTCGCTAGATCTCCGCTTCTCTCACCGGCTGCTCGGTGCGCTGGCCTCGTGTAAGCATAGGACGTGCAGTAAGTCGCGTGTTGTGTGCAGTATGTCGCTTTACAGGTCGAGTCGCATGGTATCCTATCTTTCCCTTGACATCGTGTGAGAGATCAATGTTAGAACCATCGAGGTAGTGCCAGAGAGTCGTAATCGTAGGCGGTTGGGCACGTTGTCGAGACTATCTAGGTCGAAATCGACAAGTGCGTAAATGAGATGTCGAGATCTGGGGGTTCCTGGAATACCAAACCTAAGAGTTGGTATATCAAGGCTGCAACAGTGCTTTCAACACAGGAGAGGCTTGACATCCGAGTAGAGGGTCGCCCTGCATCTCCTCGGCCTGTACTCAATTGTGACGCCGTTAAAAACCGGTGAGATGGCCAGCCAGGTATAAAGTCAAAAATACGGTATGGAAGACGAGTATTCCAGCCCAGCCAGGCATGAAGTGTCGTTGTAATAAAGATGTATGGTAGCCTTGTCTGTCTTGGGAGCCTCATGTTGCAAATGCTTGTCCGCCCACTAATGAAAGTCTTTGAAACGCCGTCCCTCTGTGTGTATCATTTCCTCCAGCAGCTGCGCCCTCGCCATGCAGATAAAAAAAAAAGTAAAAGTTGACCCATATTTCCATGCCCATCCTGCATTTGCCGCATATCTTCCCGCTTGCCTCATGATAACCACCTCACCGCAATCCAGATACTTGTGGCTTACCCTGTAACATGACGTCTCCAAACTCCTTGAGACTGAAATCCCGATCGACAATGTTGTCCCACGCACGCTGCCTCTCTTCCTGTGCCTTCTTATTGCGCCATGTCCAGCCAGGCTTGCCCCGGCCTTCTCGCTCATCTATTGTGGAGGCTGCCGCTTGCCCCTGGCCTTCTCCTTCTGCTTCAGCTTTTGTCTGCATCGCCGCGACCCTCGCCGAGCTGCGTGTAGCCGTGCCGTTTGACATCGCTTGTGAGATAGGTTGCTGGGAGGTTTCAGTTTGGCTTTGCCTCTGTGACCGTGGTGGGGACAGTTCACCCGGTGCGGCTGCGTTGAGGTGGTCGTTTGCAGGAGTGTGAGGGCGTCCGCTCAGAGAGTGTGCCGAGTCTTGGTCGTTGTCGTTGTTCGTGTCTTCTGGGAAGAGGCTGTCGTCTTCGAACCCTTCGTCGGCGTCGATGGTATCCTGGAGGGCAGATGGTGTGGAGGAAGTGGATGTGGTCATTGTTTCATCCAGGTCCATCACTTAGGCACAGTCCACAGCTTCACTGGGCACGAGTGATGCTGATGAAACCTTTTCACCGTCGACTTGACTTGGCGTTGTATCTGCAGCTCCGGTTTCGTGACTGTGACTCGGAATGACGATCCTTTCTAGTTAGTGAAGTTCGTGGTATGCGGAGAAGATCCCCAAGTGCTAGCGGGGATGCAGCCTTCGGGACACCTACCGTGTTCGGAGGAGGGTCTGATTCTGAAACTACCCCTATTGTCTGCCTGTCTGGCTGCAGCCACACGCACACAACATTGATACGCCGAATATAGTTACTTGTTGGGCTATAGAAGTGGAACCCTAGTCATTAACCCCGTGCGATTTTTCAAGTTGGGAATTATCGCGGCAATCTAGCGAAGCCAACAGGTCTGGATGTCGTCGGAATAGATTTGGTCTTTGCCAAATTGCCATACCTCAAGGGTCCTTCAACCGCGAACAGCCTCTTTTGGCATTTCTGAGTGTAGGCTCAATGAATGGCTGGGCTATGGTTGAAATGTGCTGGGAGTGCTGGGAGTGCTGGGAGTGAGCGCTAATCTGGGTGAAGCCCTGAGGCTATTCTACAAGTAGCCGGAAATCAAAATCCAAAGTGGGTATGGCCAACGAGGACCAGCCTTGCGCATCTGTCCAGGTTTGATGTACCTTGTAAGTCTGGCAAATCAGAAAAGAATAAGCAGCCATCTTAGGAAACTGCGTCCTAAGTTTGAATAGATGTGTATATGAAAGTGACAAATATCATCAGTGGGTCAAATATAGTGGCTGTCTCATGTTCGCTGCAGTGTTCTCATGTGCATCAAGTTCTGCCACATATGATATGTCTGTCCTTTGCGACAAACAGTCTCAAGGTGTGATAACTATGCAGCAGAATTCCTTCACCGAGAACCTTCAATACCCCTGAGCAAGGTGCGAGATGTAACAGTGCACCCCAGGAAGCCGTTGATACTAGGCCTAATAAGTAGTTTTTCCGGAAGAGGCACACGGCTGTAGATATGAGAAAGAGGGTCAGATGGGCGGATATCTTCTTCTTCTGTGACTCAACGGAGGAATATGATGAAACCTACAGGGTGCTGGTGACCGAAGACTGCCTGACTCGTGTAGGTATATATCCTGAGTAATGACAGTCATTACATCGCCTTGGCGACCTTGACAGTCAGACCAGCACGCTTTGGGATGAACCGAATCATGTGATGCGGAGAATTTAATGGACTTTTTGTCTGCTTTTGGAAGGCACCAAACGTAAGGGATTCCCTAAACGGGACGACACAGGGCGGAATCAGAATTTTCAAATGAAACAAAAGACCCAAAAATGCGTTTGTTATTACCACATCAAAACTCCATCGATGTTAATGACTCTCAAATTTCCTTCGCTGACCACGTCAACCCCAAGCTTCTTTCAGTAATGTTCCAAACTGTGTTCGATCTGGAGACGCCGTCGCATCAACCATGGAGGTCAAGCTCCACAGACGGATCTTCGAGACTCTATTTAAAATCCGGGCAACAGCCACTGTCCTATCGCTTAGACGAGTCACCTCACCAAGTAAACGACCTTCTGCCAGATTCGGTGCTACACTAGCGACCCTCAGCCCTGTGGCAAGAGCTCTGAATATTATATACCGCACAATCGGCACCCTCGATGCTCTGTCTGCATTCTCTCCCATGTTGATTTCACACCAACCGACCTATGGCAAGTGGGGATAGCAACTTGGATAAAGGGCAGCATGTCAATCCTGACCTAAGTCGGCTGGAAGCAGGACTCAACGACAGCTACAATACTTCTAACTCATGGGCAAACAGCAATCACAGTTTGAGCAGCACGAATGCGGGAGATCTTGGAGGCGAAGGTGGCAGCCATCCAACCTCAGGACCTCCCTCAGATAACAATGCCGCGGACGAAGCGTATCAAGAGCAGCGACCAAAGCTTGCTTGGTCGAAGGTCATTAATTGGGTAAAGCGGAAGGACAAAGTTCGACCTTTTCGGTTGTCCAACCTCAGGCCTTCGACATCTTTCTACAACAAATTCGAGGAGGGTTCTGTGCCCAGTCAGGAGAAGCCGTCTGGTGCCGATCATGTGCCTGAACACCCACACGAAGGCAGTGAGGATGCAGAAGCTCCATCGCAAGTCTATACCCAGGCTGCGACGGAAACAGTACATACCTTCTTGCGTCAGGATTCAACGTATCAGGGGGCGACAAAGTACGTTCATTTCCTTTCCTCGCACCATCTCGAAGCTAATTGCCACAGCCTCGATCATGAAGAACGACAGGTTGACCAACACGTATATGACGTGGATTACGTACCTACACCTGAGCAATACAAACCTGGTCTCTTTGGGGCCCTCCTTGCTTATAAACTCAACCACATGCAGCAAGGCTGGCCTAACAACCAAAAGCAACCACACAGCCGTGCAGGAGGACAGACGCAGCATGATCCAAAAGGTCACCATCACTCTCAGTCACTCACAACGTCACTTCCCAGTTCTGGCACAGCGACACCCTCCAAAAAGGTCAAATGGTACGAGAAGCCTGAACAGAGCAACCCAACTGCCACGGCCTTGATGCAAGCAGCTCTCACATCCACAGGGCCGAGCGTGGCAGGAATGGGCGCCCTCCCACGCCCTCGGACGATGCGCCCTAAATCCGCCGATATGATCTCCACGGCCGTCGACATCATCACACACGGAAAACACCATCATAACCGGCGTAGCGGCGCGTACAGCACAAGCACGCTTGACAATCACGTGGGCCTCATCACTGAGGTCGCCGATATCATCGCCCGGAGAGACTATTTAATCAAGCTGTGCGGCGCCTTTATGGAATACGGCGCCCCCACTCATCGCATGGAAGAATACCTAAGTGCCTCTGCTCGAGCATTGCTCATCGACGCCGACTTTCTGCACATCCCAGGTGCCATGTTCTGCACTTTTGCCGACCGAACCATCCACGCCAACAATGTCGACATTGTCCGAAAACGCTCCGGGCTTGATTTCGCACGCCTGAGGGACGTGTTCAATGTGTACAAATGTGTCATTCATGACAAACTCACCGCTGAGGAGGGCATCCGAGAGATCGACAATATTCGCAGACGACCCGATACCTACTCGGAGCTATTTCGCATCTTGATGTTCGGTGTGGCGTCAGTTGTGGTCGGGCCCTTTTCCTTCCAGAGTCGCCCTATTGATTTTGGACCTATTTTCCTTCTCGGTTGCGCAATTGGGTTCATGCAGGTCAAGATCGTCCCGCGGTCCGAACACTTCAGCAATGTGTTCGAGGTCTTTGCGTGCGTGTTTGCAGCGTTCATTGCCCGGGCGCTGGGGTCGATCCAATACTCTAATGGGCAGTACATCTTCTGCTTCTCGGGCATAGCGCAGAGTAGCATCGCCATGATCCTCCCAGGATTCATGATGCTGAATTCCGCCCTCGAACTACAGAGTCGAAATCTGATTTCTGGTTCGGTACGTATGGTTTACGTGATTGTTTATGTTCTCTTTCTCGCATTCGGCCTCCTCATTGGCACCACCGTCTTCGGGCTGATCAAGCGTGACGCCGTCTCCTCCACTACCTGCGACATCCCGTCCTGGTTCGCCGCAGATATGAATTGGAAGTTGATACATACGCGCTTTATCTGGGCTCCACTGTTCGCTTGTTGCGTGGGACTCATCTACCAAGCCTTGTGGCGGCAGTTGCCTGTCATGGCTCTCATTGCCGTCTGTGGCCATCAAGCCAACTTCTGGATCTCCACCCAGCTTTCCAGCAACCCGCAAGTCGCAAACGCCATCGGCGCCTTCGCCATCGGCTGCATCTCCAACTTGTACTCGCGGCTTTTCCACGGTCAAGCAGCAACCGCCATGCTGCCAGCCATCTACTGTCAAGTTCCCGGTGGTCTCGCCTCCTCGGGATCACTGGTCGCGGGCGTCGTCTCTGCCAATGAGATTTCTGGCAACAGCACCGCGAGTGCTCAGAATTCGAGTAATGGTTCCGACGGGACAATTTTCACCGTTGGGTACAGCATGGTTCAGGTTGCCATTGGTATCAGCGTGGGGTTGTACCTGAGCGCGTTGGTCGTGTATCCCTACGGCAAGAGAAAAAGTGCATTGGGGAGTTTTTGATGAAAGGCATGACAAGCAAGACAAGGCGTTTCTTTTAAAAAATTGCGACTGATTTTTATTTACACCTAGAAATGATGTTTATGATAATGATAAAGTGTACTTGTACTGGGATTTGTGAATATGTCACAGAGAACATTATGCAGGGTTAGGAGCATTGGCAATAGTGAAGGATGGAGGCGTTATTTCGGGCAAGTAACGCATAAGAACAGCCAAGCATTTACGACTTGCTCCGTCCTAGGAAATTATTTAAGGTTAATAAGTTTATTTCCATGTTCACTTCCCCGTCTCCGTGCCATCATTACCCCCACTTGTCACTCACCCACTCACGACAATAGTCTGTGCCAGGTCACCACAATGGACGATCCTCACAAGTCTGTCACCAAGGAACCGGCTGAGCGCCTCCGTCAGGGTGTCCTGAGCTTTTCCTCGGGCGGAAAGCTTCAGACACGTCCGCCGTCGACCCCAAAGGCCCGAGACAGAGACGAACTAGTCAGAGTGGCCAGAGAGACAGTCTCAGTCCTCCCTGGTCTCCTCCACACCCGGCCGGATGCAAAACCAGATGGATACCTCTATGAAAAAGACGCCGCGACACCGCTTGATCAGAGCTTCTGTCCAAAACTGCCAAAGACGAAAATCCGAGTCATCAGCAGCGACACGATCGACGCGGCCCTCCAACTCAGCAGCGGCGGCGGCGGCGGTCCGTCTCAGAAGCCTGTCTGTGTCCTGAACATGGCAAATGCGATCCACGCAGGCGGCGGGTTCAAGCACGGCTCCCTGGCCCAGGAAGAAGCCCTTTGCTTCCGCACCTCTCTGATCTTTACTCTCAAACTGCGCCTCTACCCGATTCCCGACAAAGCTGCCATCTACTCCCCGACCGTCCTGGTGATCAGAGACAGCCTTGCCAACGGCCACCAGCTTCTCGACAGCCGGGACCCTGAGAAGTTGCCTGTCATCAGCGTCGTCAGCGCAGCGGCCGTCTTTCAACCTACTCTCGGGTACAACGCGGCTCAGCCTAACCAGGATGCAAACGAGTTCTACGCCCGGCGCGAAGACCGCGAAATGATGAGAGATAAAATGCGTGTCATCCTCCGGACCGCCATCAAGAATAGACACCGTAAGATCGTACTCGGCGCTTTCGGCTGTGGTGCGTTCCACAATCCGCCCAAAGAGGTCGCTCGGCTCTGGTCAGAGGTGCTTCAGGAAGCAGAGTTCGCGGGCGGCTGGTGGGAGGACGTGGTCTTTGCGGTGCTTGCTCTGGGCTCATCCGACAAGAACTTCCAGTGGTTCTCGGAGGAGTTGGACGGGGTTTTGGTCTGAGACTACTTGGTACCTGCAAAATGCGAGGCGAGGGCGGGTGCCACTCCAAGTGGGTGATTCAGTGAGAACCCAAACCAAAATGACAGATGCGAAAAGCAGTTCCTGCTAAAACTGTAACAACACAAGGCAAGAAAGAAGTGCTCTATTTAAAGCCTCTTCAAAGGCATACGTCCGCCGACAAGAGCTCCAAAATACATATGTTTTTCCAAACCATCGTGGCATCAAGGTCAGGGCTAACAGGAGACTGATGAGTGTTGATTGCTCCCACGTTAACTCTCATCGCATGGCATGACATGTTTGGAAGATGGGTAATGAGAGGACGACATGCACTGGTCGAGCAGCTTGGGTGAAATGCGGCAGGATTAATAGACTCGAGAAAGTTTGTCTCGAGCTTTGTACATTTTCATGGACCCCCTCCCCACATCCCGGATCTGGATCCGCCAGCCGTTTCCGCATGGAGTTAATGAGGCTCTCGGAAGAGCTAGAGATTGGCGACGGTGTTCTGACCAAACAGGAACCAGACCAGCCCATTAATTATCCCAAACCATCTTCCACCAAGCAAAGTACAGTTGATGGTGCCCTTGCCATGAAGAGAAGCCTCTTCCCTTTCCGGGTGGTATCTTGACTGTGTTCTCCACGCGTGACTCTCCAATGGGGTCCTTTCTCACGACCGACAAGGCAAGGAAGGGGAGCAGCGTCGATGATCCCGGCCCGGCGTGTCAAGGTTGGCCAAGTCAGAGGTGCGGTCTCTTCCATACCCGTGAATGCATTCATGCAATGACAACTCTGCAAGACCGGGTCAAGAGCCCGAGCGAAGGACGATGTTCTCCTCGAAGCGGGCGCTGGTCTGTTCAATGCAGTTTCAAGTTAGCACCGCCCGCGCCCACTCCACGGTGGACAAAACAGCCTGGCTCTCACGGTAGTGTACAACATTCCACTCTCTAGCAACGACAGGTGGGCTTGGTGGTGGTGGTGGTGGTGGTGGTGGTGGTGGTGGACCCATTCAGTGCTGGCATATTGGAATCGTGTCGACGGTGTGTGTGTTCTGCTGCTGTTTGCGTATGGCATGTGGGTGAAGAAGAGGTATGGAGGACGTTGGAGTCGTTGCTCAGCCAGAGGACTGCTGCTCCGGTTGGGGTTGCGATGGCGGTACTGTGCTGCTTGTCCGCCGGTCGAGGACAGTCGCTTGTTGCGCAAGAATCGCCAGAGGAAGGGCAAGGTTGGAATACACATGACCAATAACGTGACGATGCCGACGATGGTTTCGGCCGTGATGCCCATGTCGGTGGATCCGGTCGACGGGTTCTCTCGATGGTATAGTTCTAGCTTGGACGAGAACCCGACTTGAGCCTCGAGAGAGTACGGAACTGGTTTAGAGAAGAGAGGAAATGTCGGGAAGGTATCACTATTATCATCAGAATTGCGTTGCGGACGGGAGAGAAAAAGAATCCCTCAGCCACCTAGGACATAGTATTTATTATCTATCTATACAGACGTGCTGGTTTGTGATATGCACGAGACTGAAGGCCCCCCGGCGGGGCGAAAGGGGGGTAGGGGCTATGCTTGCAACCATGAGAAATAGCGTCGCAAACGATGGCGGGGATCCACATGTTGTGATTATCCCTGCAATTCGTAGCTACTGGTCCAACTGCGTATGAGTGCGAGGAACTACTGCAGAGTCCAGCAGGCTATATCCTGGTCTCAGGGTGGAGCCAGCAGGGTGGAGCCAGAAGAGGGACTTCCACCACTGAATGGCTAGAGCCCCTAGAAACGAGCCAACTCGAGAAGAGGGTTCAAAAATTCATACTTGGCGCAAAGGCGACAGAAATGGGTTTAAAACCTCTGTTCTGGACAACCTGTTTTGCTAGGTCAACTGTAGAAGCATCCCCCTGCTCAAGCCCTTCTTAAGTTCTGAGCTTCGTATTGGAGTATATCTCTGACAAGTTCGGAAAATAAAGAGCTCGTTCTGGTGGGAACGAATAGCTGACATTGGAGAGATCAGTTTTGATTTATGATTCGAAGGCACCGCCGAACTTGAATCCGACTTGATGCGCAGAAATCCCCAGCGGTGTGTGCAAGGCCACGGAACGGACGATGCCATAACCATGTGGTCAACACACCGGGACAGGGTCCAGCACAGCTGATGAGATTTGGAACTCTTACCACTGCTTCAAACTGTGCGTTAGCAAGCTCTCGTTCAAATTATTGAACGAGCCAAGAGCAACTAAGCCATCAATGAGCCCGACACATATCAATCTCGCCGCATAGTTGAGGTCGGCCAAAGGTGAGTGATAGTAGTAACATGTGGACGCCAAATGTGGCGTTTTGAGAAGAAGAGACCTGTAGCACCACTTTCTTTGGACTCTCGAATTTGCAAGTGCTCTTTCAATTTATAGGCCATTGAAGAACGGGATTTCAGCCTTATCCGGTCTCACGTCAAAAGTCAAGAAAATAGGTCCTATGTCGATATGCGGCTTCACGCTCGACGTGACGCCAGTTAGACCGGTCGCACGAGAGCTGGTGATTCACAAGAAGAACCAGTATTGGCAACCTGCGTAAAATAAAAAAGAAGCACGCTGTGACGTCAGGTAGAGGACGTGCACGGACGTGTAACTACAAGAACCCACAAGAGGAGGCTTGGAGGTTAGCGGCCTTGGCTACGGAATTCGGAACCAAGTTTCTCCGCGAGATGCTTTCATCCAAGACTTCCTCCATCTGGACAAGTTGGTGTTAATGAGATCATATGACACGGACCCCCTTGACCACCATGATGAACCACCGCTGACTTTTCCCTCCCATTTTTAAGCCCTTTTGGGATCGCTGTCGGGGTAGCCTGAACAGGAGACCAAGACAGAGTCGGGTCTTCCGCCTCTCACTTGTTGGGAGCTTGCTGCTACATGAGCTCAGAATGAGCGCTGCACGGCTTCGGAAAACATTCAAGTATCCCTCCGAAGATGATGCGGACATGTCGCACGAAGAGATGGACGAAGAAGGTACGTGTATCCTTGTCCGGAGAAAGTCATGAAATATAAATACGGTGCCTCTCTGCTGGGGATTCGGAGCGAGGGAGTCAAATCATCCCACGCTCTGGTGGTTCACGTCATGATCCTGCAGTAAAAGGGGGAATACCTGAATGTCCTCCAACAATAACAAGCCTGACGTGTCGTTGTATAAATTACAAACAGAACAAGAACACCTCCTCCAGAACCTGCAGGCCTCCGAGACCTCGACCAATGCCATCTACACCGTAATGTTCACGGCCCTGCCGCTCGTCGTCACCCTGCCGTTCATGATGTACCTCACCATGTCGACCTCGCGAGCCATGGCGTTTCTGTGCCTGTTGAGCATCACCTCGCTCGCCTCCAGCGCCTACATCATGTACATGGTCCCGACGTCGACGCCACTGGGATCCCTCTCTACCTCGTCACGCTCATCCCCGACCGCCACGCGACAGAGACACGTGCACGGCACCGGGATCCCCCAGACGGGTTTCCTCCTCTCGTCCGCCGACAGCCCCATCAACCAGTACCTGCCCTACCTCAACGCCTTCATCGACGTGCTCCTGTTCATCGCGTCCATGGGCTACCGCTCCCGGAGTGACGTGCCAGAAGGTCTGTGGCTGCTTTTGTTGCTCCCCGGCCTCATCTTTGGAATGGTCTTTCTCACGAGGAAGAGTATGTCCGAGGTTAATGCGGGATTGGCCGAGTTGGAGGGCCTGAGGTACGACTATAGGGGTGCCTGATCACCGTCTGGTAGATAGTTGGGCTCCAAGCGACCCTGCTACGAATGATGCCCGGAATTAGTTTTGCTCAAGGACGGAGTACGTTGTTTTCATAGTTGCATGGGAACGAGCACCTAATGAAACAGGCTGGATGCTTCATAGCCAAAGGTTGATATATCGATACAAATGGTCCCAAAGCCCTTTATAGCTCTTATCATACAGGGATTTTCGCAGGCTCTGCCTCCGCCACTGACGCCTCAACCTTGGATGGCTTCGGTAGTTGAGGAACTTCGGGCCAAGGTTTCTTTAACGCGTCTTGAATCATGACCAGACACCCTTTAGGACCGCTCACAGCTCCTGCCCAGCGTTTATTAGCATTGACGAGTCATCCGAGAGCGGGATTAGAACAAGAACTTACCATGCACAACGACAATCCCATTCTCTGCATCCGCCTGCAGAACCTTCAAGTTCTGCACTGTATTCCTCTGGCCGCCCATATTTCCGGCCATCTTCTTGCCGGGATATACACGACTACCACCTCCTTGACTGGGACCCACGGAACCATGCGATCTGTGACTGAGAGAGTGACCGTGACTTCGTGGCTGACCTTTGAAACCCCATCTCTTCATCGGACCTGCGAAACCCTTTCCTTTGCAATTTGACCGAGTGTCCACAAACTGCCCGGCTAGAAACCAATCGGCGCGGATCTCTTGGCCTACTGGTAGCAGTCCTTCTGGGCCTCGGACTCGGAATTCGCGCTGAAATCTTTTGGGACTCACGCCCTGCACGGAGTAATGGCCGAGCATGGGCTTGACCACATTCTTGGGGTTGATGGTGCCGCTGCCAACACACACCGCGTAGTAACCATGTCTTCTCCGCGTCTTATGGCTGACAACCTGATTTCTGTCCAGCTGTAACACCGTGCAGGGTATTCTCTTTCCAGATTCAACGTCGTATACTGCGGTCATGCCCTTCTTGATTGCTAGAGCTCCTGACCGTAGAGGAAGGGTATCTGATTTCAACTTTCGCTCAAAGGCCGCGGCGGGCGTGGAGAGGAGTGGTTGAATACCTGGGACGACGTTGTAGGGATTGTGTTTCGGCTGTCGGTCCAGTGAGCGAATGCCCATGCATCTTCTCTGAGAGCCGCTCAAGGATTTTCGTAGGAGCGATCGAGGGAGGAGGAAAGGAGGCGGGAGTGGGACGGCCACAAGTCTGGGGATGGTTGGTGGCATGTTGGAGGATAGGACGCGCACAACGTCGGTACCGGAGGAAGATGGTGTTCGTTCTGAAGCCAAATGATTGACGGTGACGGTTCAATTGTGCATTCAACTTTCAACTTTCAAGCTCGACTTCAATTGCGGATCGAGCACACGAATATTATTGGTTGGAAGTTGAACCAATAGGCGGTGTATCTCTGGACCCACTCGCTGCTCTCCTTTTCGCTTCTTGGAGCAATCGTAAACGTCTTTAACAACCTCAAGACACGTCCAAGGGATGGTCGAATCCAGCAGCGTCAGTCATTGCAAAAGGTACCCAGTCACCTATGAGCAGAATTTTGCGTTGGAGCCCTTATTGCACCCGACTGGCCATTGCCAACCTCGTATTCATGGCCCTGCATCATCCAACGGTTTCCCTTTGTTGTTTGCGGGGTTAGAGCCCAGAACTCCTCGTTTCATGGCTGGGACCTTTCACTGTCACAAGACGAATCTGTCCATGGCCAGTGCCCATCCATGCTCGGGCATGCGCACACATTGAGCTTGTTACCCCTCCCTCTTCGCAAGGATCAATAGGTAGGACAAAGAGTTGAAAGAGGGGCAAATGGTTTGGTTCTTCGCTTCTCACCCTCTCCGTTACAATCGTGGCTTCAAAGGAATTGATCCAGAAACACTTAGTGAAAAGCTCTCAGACTCACTCAAAATGCAGCGACGCCCTTCCCTCGTCCCCGACCTGTTCCATATCAAACGGATCACTACGAGAGCTGGATCACCCCCAACCACCCATACTGAAATCTGCGGGACTTGCACAGACCTTGATTCAGCCCAAAAGGTTGCACTCCGCCGCCTTGAGGATGAGGGCTTATCTCACGACTCGATGAACATCTATGTGACGAATGACATTACCCAACCTTCATCAACTTGGCAATATGCGAACAACGTCGTTGTCCATGCCGAGACGGACGGTGAAATTCATGAGGTTGGGATCGAAAGCACGCCGAACTCTCTGGGCGTTCGCTCCAAGCCAGGTGATGGGAGAGTAGAGGATGATCTCTTCTATGTTCTCCGCACAACCCAGTCACCCACCACCGGATTCACGTACACTGAGATCAAAGGGATACATTTGTCTCGACAGGCGGCTGTAACTGCCGCCCGATACGAACTGGTTAGTGGTGAGCACAAACTGGATTGGTACAAGGAATACAACGAGGAAGTCGGAGTAGGTGACAGGGAAGAAGACATCGAAGGGCACCAGGTTATCGTGACTGCGGCTGGAGACGATGGCGAGAAGTACATTGTCAGCGTGGTCCATGAGAGCTGAAACAGGAATGAGCATCCAAATGCCCGCGCCCTGAAGGGTCTTGTAAGTTCGACAATAGCGCGGGAAACTGGGGTTTTATTCACTGAATGTTCCCGCGGGCAGTTAAAGGCAGTTCCCATTCATGTGGAGGTAATGTATTAACTTGTGTCAATCTGTCTCTGGCCTTGTTCACTACCATGCCATTTATGACTGCCACCCATGAGCGAAATTCCAGCACTGTTTGATGAAACAGAATGACACACTGATCCACTGCCTATTTCGATCATCAGTGAATAACCATCCTATTCAAGGTTTCCTGATGGCTTCTCCCTCAGGCTATAAGTACCCCCTTCTTCCCCTCTCAGCCATATCCTGCGCTTGTTGGGCCTGCGCCACGACACAACACCAGCTGAGATTGCCTTCATGGCACAAGGCTCACCACCAACGATCACTCTTGATTATATTGCAACAGCTTCGTTATCGCTCAGAGGCTCGGCTTTACCTTGGACCAGTCCCGGGTTTTCATGCTTCCCACAGTCAACACCACGAACCTTCTGCACTCACGGAACATCACTTCCAGAGACCGAGTTAGAGTCCCAGGCGCTGGGTCCACGGTCCCAAAAGGACACATTTCTGCAGAAAGACCTTGAACCCGACGCGGATACCTCTGACTTCTTGAGGCCAGAACAGATACACTCGACACAACACCGCACCACGACTGCCTGGTTAAGGCTGGACGTGTTTTTGCCGCGAATACAGAAATACACATGTTTTCGGGCATCGAAGAAGATGATGATGATGATGACGCAGCAGATGTATTCTGCGCCACGGGGGAACGGAGCTATATATTTATATCAAAATCTCTCCGGCTGGAAGAAGTCGAGGATGCGGAGTCGGCTGGAAAAGTGGTAGTGGAGAGACATGGTCAGCGGCAGAAGACGAGGCTGCAAGGTTGAGTTCTGCTGCCACGAGTATTTCAATGGGTGCTTGACACCTTCCGACAACAATGCACGCAGACAACAGACGGAGAGAAGAGCAGTTTGCTGACAGGTGAGGGGGCCACGGGGCACGGAGAGTCTGACAAAGGAACAAGTCGGGTTGAACCTTGAATCATGTTCGGTAATTATCTACATTGGCTCCGAGTCACTTCTCTAGGCAGTATACTAGTATGTACGAGGTATGATGTTGGAAGTATGAGCGGAATGTATATCCTCCGTCTCCGTCTCCAACTCCGTATTCGTATTGGACCAGAGTCCCAAAGAATTATGCACCTACCACGTTTGTACAAGATGACCTCCCCATTCACTGACGTAGACCATGGCTCGCGGAAGAATTATCCCAGAAAGTCAATTCGCAGCTCCCTCATCCTCCTCCTTCATCATCAAACACACTACTGAAGAAGTTGTCCACAGGGTTTCTCTCGCAATCGATCAAGGACGTCGACACCGATCTATTCGTTTCCATCCAGACCAGAACAGGCCCGATTTTTCGCCGGTAGCAGCATCACTGTGATACAACCCTTGCACCATTACCTACATACCGCCCGTATACTGCTACATATTCGAATCAGCCGTTGCAGCCACAATTCCCAGCAACCCGACCACCCCTCAGCTCAACATAGCTGCTGAACCCCCTCGACTTGATTATCACCTAGCCAACCGAACAATAATGGACTTCTCCCCCTCGACGTGGCGCGTGCTCGGCCTGTCCGTGGCAGCGACGTACATCGGCCTGGGCAGCTTCGCCATCACCTTCCCCGTGGCCGCGGGCAAGACGTTCGGGCTGTACCCGCACTCGTCGTCGTCGTCGCTGAGCGGATCACCCTCGACCGCCCCGCCAGGCACCAACGCCAACCCGACCAAGAGCCGCACTTCGCCGGCCGAGCACGCCAACGCCGACGTGGCCAACCACGCCGCGGCCGTGACCACGTCCATGGCCCTGCTGGGCGCGCGCGACCTGAGCATCGGCCTCGCGCTGGCCAAGCTCGGCGCCGACGCCAAGCTGCCCGAGATGGGCACCGTGATCCTGGCCGGCATGGTCCTCTGCGCCGTCGACGTCTACCAGATCTGGCGCCTGCGTGGTGCCGGATGGGGTGCCGCGTTCGCTGCTGGCGCGGGCATTTGGGTTGGTATCGGTGTCGGGTTGGTGCAGTTGTAGTCGGTCCCTTCGGCTAGGTATCTGTCTACCAGGGACTACTGGGCGGCAGGAGAGCTAGGGGGACCACAAAGATCTATCGTGACTCAGTATCACATGGAAACGAGAGAGGCCAAAAAGAGGAGATATGGCAACAGGTGGTCACTTCACCCCAATTCCTTCAAACCTAGTAGTCTCTAGTTATTGTATTGTCTATAGTGTTCGAGCAGCCGAAAAGTAAACATCTCTACTCCCTCCCAGTCATTCCCTTTCCTCCAACGAGCCTGCTACATAACTCGATCACTTTCTTTTCTCCCACTTCTATCCTCAGATCGCATCGAATATACTTCAGGTCATTCGGTGTGCTCTGCGGCAGGAAATTGAGGGAACTTTGATCATGCCTAGAGAACCCGTGACGTTGATATACTCCGCGAGGATCATGTATGTATATATCATGACTATAGCTCTGTATAAGTGTATACTTGGGTTGGTGGCCAGCTTTGTCCTCGGGCTGATATTGAACAATTACCCATAACATCTACCAGCAGAGAGGTGTTGCGACCGAGGTGACCGCACTGCACTGCACTGCTGGCTGGGTTACATTGTACAACCTTTACGCACGTTTATAGACCTGCGGATGAACTTCTCTCCCTCTTCTGCATTCCGCATTCTGCATTCTGTGTGGCACAATTGTCTATTTGCTGTTCCTGTTCCCGTTCCTGTTTGGCCTACATGGCGACGACCATGAATGAATCATCCCTACTTGTTAATTTACGCTCCGGCTGGAAAATGCAAACCACTTCAAAGGTCCGCCCACCCCCTCAAAAATTTCTGTGGTCTTTTCCTTCACCCCGTTGAATCAGGGTCCGTGTCCCCTGTGTGGATTTCGTTGACAGGTCATCAATCGCTGGACATATGCCAAGCATCTTCCTCGAGCCCCCTTTCGGGGGGGGGGGGAAGAAGTTTCTTCTACATGTCCACTGTCTCGTTGAATCGTAAAATGCCGTTCGCCTTCATAATACCGTTGACGCCATCCGGTAACATCGAAAAGGTCGAGCTCTGCGCTTGCTCGTGTGAGTGCGATTGCTGATGGCCTCCACTGTCATTGTCCGCCGACGCATCGGAAACAAGCACCAGTCCTGCTTGCTTGAGAGTTTCCGTCAAAGCAGGCACCATCTGCAAAATCCGTGCCGAGCAAGTCAATCCCATAAAGTTGTTCAGTTGTGCCAAGCGTGCCGACTCTTTGATCGACGTCCCTCGTTGCGAAGCAGTTTCGATGAGATTTGAAGATGAATGGTAGGCGTTTGGCGAACTACCCAGATCATTGCAGAGTAGGACGGGGAAGTTGGGCTGCTTCCAGTTCAAGGCAGTGCAGATGTTGCTGTTGAAAGAGGAGAACACAATGGAACGAGTCAGGTCCGGAGCCTGTGCGCGCAAGGCCCTTGCGTGATCGAACACTTCGGTCAGAATCGCGTCAGCGAAGGTGTTGATGTCAATATTCGAGTACACTCCCAGCGAGAAATCTTCATGGCTTGTCGGATACAGAATATGCAGATTGAGGTTGATGTGTGAGGGTACCGCCATCAGGATCTCTCGAAGCGCAAAGACGGAGCCAGACAGTCGGTCTCGCCACTCGATGATATCCATGCTGTCCAGGGTCGGTGTTCCATCATTGTTGAAAAGACGGCCTTTCATGCCAAGTTTCATCAGTGTCTCATATTTGAGCTGACAGAGCGAGACGTCGAGGTTGTTGTAGGTCACAAAATAAGACGGGTAGCTCACAGGAACACCGTCCCGGGTGAGCTGTATCGTTAGTCTGAGGTAGTCCCCAGAAAGGCTCGATCCCGTAACTAATCCGCTGTGATCGTCTAAAGCGCTTGTGGCCTTCCAATACGGTGCAAATTGTGTAATCTCCAACGGCGTACCCTGGTACGGTTTGATGACCTGGAAATCGAACTGTATCTGTCCCACCGACCGGAGCCTTGGGTCAAACAGTGGAAGACAGCACGTGCCAGCGCTGCTTGCGATGGCGCGAAACACATCCGGAAGGGCGACCGACTTGGCTATCACTTTCGATCCAAACGTCGGGTAGATCTCGAAATCCACAGAGAAGGTGCTGAGATTATCCACCTGAAAGTACACGGACCTGGCGTCCTCTTGTATAGGCAGCATTAGATTGCGAGGAATGAGGTCAGAGGTTTTCGAGGAAATGGTTAGGCGGGCCGCAGGGTACCTCGCTTCATTGAAAAATTGTATGGCTTTCGACGTCCGGTCGAAGTTGAGGGCAATGAATGTTTTCGTGTCGAGGAAGTTGTGTCCGTAGCGCCGCAACGGTATGATCGGTGGCGGCAGGGATAAGTCAGGAATTCCGTCGCCCTCAGCTCCTGTGGGTTCCTCGGGCGTGATCTCCATTGCTAGCATCTGGTTATGGGGTGGGACAACAGGTCCTAACAGGGTGGAAGATCTGCGTTCGGCGCGATGGTGACTGCTTTGCCGCCAAAGAAGTTCCATACATTCCAGGTGGCCTTCCCATGTGGCGTAATACATGGCTGTCAGGCCCTTTTCGTCCAGAGCCTCAGGGTCAGCACCGTTTTCGAGCAGTGCTCGCAGGCATTCAACTCGACCCTCGCTTGCGGCATGGAATAGTGGCGTCCACTGGTACAACTTATCACGCTGATTCAAGTCCGCCCCGTGCTGACGGAGGAGCAAGAGGAGATCGGCTTTTTGACTGGAGCGAGCCACAAGATGTTGGGGGAAAAGACCCTCTGCATCGGGAAGAAGTTTTGCGTTTCTTTCCAACAGTAAGGCGGCAACTTCAATTGATCCATGTTGACAGGCCAAGTTCAGGGGAATGTGATCTGCATCGGACTGCGGATCAATCCTTGCGTTGTTCGCGAGGAGAAGGCGAACACACTCGACCCGGTGTCGCACAATGCTATGGATCAACGGTGTAAAGTTGTCGTGGTCTTTCATGTCGATGGTGTTTGGTCCTGCTGCCAGCAATTTTTCAACCATAGCAAGGCGTCCTCTTAAGCATGCATAGTGCAGTGGTACCCTCCCATACACATCCAGACGGGTGAGGTCAATTCCATGACTGAGAGCATAATCCAACACAACCTCTTTGCCATAAATTGCAGCTTCGTGTAAACAGTTTCGTTCGTTGATGTCGTCTTCGGCGTGGATATCGACCAGGCCCGAGTTTAGGAATAGGTTCAAAGAATCGTCAGGTGCTTCAGAGATTGTCGCAAGGAATATTCTGGTGAAACGCTCGCGTGCATCCGGGGAGTTGCCCAGTCTGGCAAACCATTCTCGAAGGGCGCCAATATTACTGGCGGCAGAGGCTTGAAGAATCTGAATGTCGATATCACTCTCTTCCGTGCCCACACGTTGTCCTATCATGCGATCTTGTTGTCTCGATACTTCGTACTGAATATTTTCACCCTCTGCCCATGCCTCCAAATCAAGCCTCGCCGTTGTCGCTCGGTCTGCGAGGTCCCGAAGTACATCGCGATTAAAACAAGGTTGGATTTCGACGGCACGTTGGAGATAGATCTCTTTCGTTCTTGACTGTCACTGGTGTCAGCTCACCCCAGAGGCACGGGTATAGACAGTAGTCCACCTTCGACGTTTTGTCCCACTACAAAAGATCAGTCCCTAATTCAAAATAAGTGGTAGGCCAACCAGACCTTTTTCAGAATCTTTGAAATTGCGGTTTCGTTGACTTCGACAAATTGCTGCGACGCGTCAGCTACCAGAGTCCTTGTCTAGAACGCACCCTTCTTACTTGAAGTTTGTTGAGATCATTGTCGAACTGTTGAAATCCCTCGACTAACGTTGCGAAACTAGCAGAGAGTCTGGAGCTGGCTGCTATTCTTGCTTGGATGACCCTCTTCTTGTCAAGCAACGTTTTCAGACGAAGAGAAAACTAGACCGGGGTTAGAGGCCAACTTCGTCAATATGTAAATTTCTATACCTCTGCCTCTTTCTGGAGATAAAAGACGTTGACCTTTTCTATCTCACGTTCCTACAACTTGTATCAGAGAATGGCGGGAAGTGCGGAAGATGATGAGGCGCCCACCAGTCGGAAGAAGAAAACCTCTTTATTCGCTCTAAGTGCGGCCTGTGCGTCGAGGGTAGTGGGACCTCCTTGGGCGCTAATGGTAGGAGTAGCACTGAGTTGTTTGATGAGCTGAATGACATGGTGAGCAGAGTCTTCTCTTAACGAATACATAAAGTCTTGTCACACCCTTTTGAGGGCCTTGTAGTTGAGGAAACTGGCCGCATATTCAGGAAGATCCAACTGCTGGCGTTGGATCTGCTTGCCGAATTTCCTGATTGGATTAGTGCCAGGGTATGAGAGGAATCAAAGAGAACGTTACATGTTTGGTGGTGCGAGGGTATAAAAGAGATTGACTCAAATGACACTATAACGAATAGAGTCGGCCCTGACAAGGCTCTTTTGGGGGCCCCGCGATGCGCGACACTTTTCCAGGTGTGTTAGCGGACAGAAGGACCACTCTGCGATGGTCGAAGAAGCGGTATATGTGACATTGGGTGAGCGAGAAGCGGTGGGAGAATGCCGTTCAAGGCGAGGCTTGAATGGTGGAAAGTTCTTTCTGTGAGCAGGATGTGTGTTTGATGCGAGCTTTGCTCCCAATGTTGAAATTTTCGGTACCAAGGTGGCCCGGACGTCAGGCTCGGGTCCAACGATGGTTTAGGGCTCACAAGACCGTGTGTTCGTGAAATAGCAGAGGGACCAGTTGGGGAAGAGGGTGCAACAACCGAGTTGAGATGCGCCTGGCCGAATGAGCGAATCAAGAGACACGAATCAAGCACGCGGTGCTTCGGAGAGCAGTTGTGACACTGTCAGATGGTTGCAGGAGATGCTTGGTGCCTCGTTGAAAGGGATCTTCGGAATAGATCACAGTCACAAATTGGAGTGAAATTAGAGAGCCGTCGTAGAGATGCGCGCAGAGTAATCAGCTCTTGCTCAGGAAATTGTGCTGAACTCTTTGCATGTGCCCGACCATCATGATGGATCAAATGATTGCACTAGTATAGAAGTTTTTCCGGGATGCATTATTTCGTGCAGTGTGCCGACGGCCAATCAGAGCGGGCCTCAGAGCAGGGCCTTGGCATAGATCATACCGGCTTGGCGCGCTTCCCGCTCGCCGCGTCGCTCGCTCGCCCCCGTGGCGCATTCTTTGTGTCACCACAGTTCTGCATTTGGACTTGTTAAGGGTCATGCCTCTGTGTACAATTGCCGCAAACAGAAGCGTTGTTGTCGCGTAAAGAGGAAGATACCCGTATTCGAGTTGGCATCAAAGAACTGTCTGCACTTTGTTACCACCAGGCAGGTATCAACTAGCCTTATGCGCATATACTCGATAAAGACCTTTTATTCGATTCCGTCTCATCAAGGCTGTCTCTATCTCTCTACGTGGTGGGACTCTTCTTCGCATTGGTGATGTTGGTATTTGAGATCCAAGGGAGTGGCCGCTGACCGTTCCAACCCGCTCGTTCGTGCCTTCGATGACGCCAGCCCTTTGCGAATTTATCCCTTGAACACTCGAGCACAAACGCGCAGCCTGTCAACCATCTCACTCACAAAAGACGAGAAAGAGTATATTAGTTTACTTTGTCACTTCTTTACTATTTTCTGCTGCCACATCTCATTCATTCTCTTGCCTCGAAAGACAAGACACGCTTCACCCCCTCAACTCTAGGAACAGAAGAGTACATCCCAGCAGCTCGCGTGCTGCCCCATTGAACATGGCCCCCATACCAGTCCATTCTGCCTCGCCCATAAACACCAACCTCCCGTCGCATCCTCTCGGTGTACTGACGCCCAGCACTGCCGCTGCTCAGTATACGCCTTTAGACGATGAGTGCCAGCCAACTTCCACAAGCCGTTCCAGCGGTCCCTTATTCTCACAGCAGCCTGCGCAACCTAGAGCACCGGCAGTCCCGCAACCAACCAACACGTTAGCCAGCAGTTACAACAATAGATATGAAGCGACACCCACTTCAACCAACACGATAACCACATCCGAGTTCAGCCCTCCACCACCGCAGCCAGGTGCAGTGCCCTTACCTTTTACAAGTCCTTCACCACACTCCACCGTACCCCTTCCTCCACAGCCCCTCGAAATCCCACGGTATCAACCAGGGTTGTCACCACACGCATCCCCACAGCGTCAGATGGTTGTCCCTGTACAAGCACAAACTCCCACACACTCCCGCCCAATGCCCATTCAATCCCCGTCGTCCACCGCCTACATGCCATACACGCCGACCCGTTCCATCCCAGCTGCAGGCGTAACTTCCACCACCACAAGTCCCAGCTACAACTTCTCGCAGCCTCAGGATCTCTCCCACCCGCCAGGGTATCAACAAGACCATCATAGCTCCTTTGACGACAAACCCGTCGAATCGTGCCAAGAGAACGACTACCGCGCCACCCTTTCCCCACTATCATACTCGAAAAGAGGTGGCATATTGGACGGAGAATGGGGCGGTTATGGCTCGGAAGATAGCGACTCGAACGGCACGGTCGTGAAGACGGCCATGTTGTGGGCAAGGGCCGCGGGCAAAAGACTGAGTGCGACGGAAAGGCAGATATGGAAGCATATCAATGGCGAAGATGATATTTGAGATTCAGACCCTAGTGGTACATACACTGGCGGAGGCGGGAGCAATGCTTTCTTTTTGTTTCGAGACAAGAGTTGTGTGTTTAACGATGAAGGGGTAAACGGTTCATGGAAGGACAAGGCAAGAAAGCAGGGAAAAGGTTATCAATCCGGTCAGCGGCACAGGGGCATGTAAGCTGGATGATTTACCCAATGAAAGACACTTTTTTCACTCTCTTACGAACAAAATGCATGGACTTGGTGGTACTGGGATCGTCGAAAGGGCAACAATATCTTGCTGTTTGTTGGGAATGCTTGGGACTTGAGTTGGCGAAGCCGTTCGTCCGCTACTCCGTAGAATAAGGATAAGGATTGGCGGAGGGCTAATGTACCAGTAGACGTACCTATCTATCAACCCAGTACCAATATGGATATCTGCTGAGCAAAAATGCGGTCTGGGACTAAAAGGGTTGAAAAAAAAAGGGTGAAGACTACTTTCAGATCTTCCTGCAAGGGATTCCCTAGTCATTGGGGGGCGGGTACGAGATAGACGGATGCGACTTAGTACTGCGATGGCAGTTCGTTGATGTCGCTACTAAGCGGACCAACGAACGCAGTTACAGTCAGCCACAAAAATCTTCCGAGGCGAGAGAGTGTACTCAGACAATGGAGGGCCACAGCGAAAAGTAAAGGTTCAGAGACTGCAGGAGGGAGCAAAGTGAGATGCTTGAAAGCACAAGTCGAGGCAGTAAAGTACAATTGCAGACCGGAGTGAAAGAAACGAAAGGATGTTGTAAAGCAAGAAACCCCATTGCATATTGTGAACAAAACCCCCAACGAGTTTCAACGTGGCCATTTCCCCTCGTCAATCCCCGTTTGTGTCGTCTCTATTTGCAAAATGTGTTTCATCTTCCTCGACTTGGTCGCCGCACCCCAGCACCTGCAACCAACCTCACCGTATCATCGTACAGTCTCGCACCACCTTTTGAACCTTCCAACTGAAGGCGCGCCATTACCCCCATTGCACCTCAACTACACCATTTTGTGCGATTGGAACAGTCGCTTGTCGGATAGTCGCAGTAAAGTGACGAGGCGCTTAGCCAGAACCGCCCTTGAACTTCTTGCCGAACATGAGAAGTTGGACCTCTGCAAAATTTGTTAGCACAAGAGATGCATCGATGAGAGCGGGTTGAAACATACGGTCGTAGATGGAGAGCACACCGGCACCAGCGACACCACGGAGAATGTTGGCACCAGCACCCTTGAAGAAGGACCGGACACCCTCAGCAGCCATGATCTTCTGGGCAGCATCGAAAGAGCTCTTGTATTTGACAGCCTGTGTTATGTGGTTAGAGAAGTGCGGATCCTGCAGTTGTAACCGGTGGTAAACTTACCTCGCCGGACGTCATCATCATGCGACGACGGATGGTATCAAGAGGGTAGGAAGCGATACCGGCACCAGTGGTGACACCCCAGCCGAGCAAGAAAGAGGCCAAGAAGTTACCCTCAAGAGGACCGACCAAGAGAACAGGCTTGATAGAGTCGTACATGCCGAAGTACAGACCACGGTAGACGATTATACCAAGGACCGAAGGACCGAAACCACGGTAAAGACCGGCAATACCATCGGAAGCCAGGGTCTTGCGGTAGACATCGACGAGACCGTTGAATTGACGCTCACCACCCTTGGAAGCAGACTTGGCATCGTTGGCAAGACGGGTACTGTGAATATCTGTATCAGCATACTGAAAGGGTGTTTGTATGGAGTGTGAGACATACCGAGCATAATCGAGGGAGTAGACGAAGAGGAGGGAAGTGGCACCAGCAGCACCACCCGAGGCCAAGTTACCGGCCATCCACTTCCAGTATCCATCGCGCTCCTTCTTGAAGGCGAACATCGACTTGTAGGTATCACGGAAGGCGAAGTTGAGCGCCTGGGTAGGGAAGTATCGGATAACGTTGGCAGTGTTACCTCTCCACAGAGCCATAACACCCTCGCTCTTCATGGTTCTGCTGAAGCAGTCGACGATACCGGTGTATTTGCGGTCAAGACGACCGGCTTTAAGCATTTCATCCTATACGTCATGGTGTAAGTGGTTATGCTCGGTATGGTCAATTTGAGTGTGGTCATCATATCAACGGTTATTGATAAGAGAATTTTTCTGGGCATATTGTCCGGGGGATCTGTTGGGCATAGTAGAGGGTTTCGTATGCCTCATGCAGATGTGTTCGATGGGATGGAGCAGGTACACATACCTGATTCTGGATCAAGAGCTTGACACGCTCAATGGGAGCAGCGGCAGTTTTCTAGCAAATTTTGTCAGCTTCACGGTTCACATTCACTGTCTACCGGAACTGGAGAGTTACTCACCGAGACAGCGGCAGAGACACCACCCATCAAAAAGTCGACGACGAAACCTAGGGTCCAGAGTTAGTTCCGATTGACCGCGGCTTCTGATGATCGAATCGTCGAGGCGAGGCCCGGAGCTCGTCGAGTCCTGGACGTCGACATCAACGACAGTGAGGTCTTACCGGGCATGCCCCATATCGTCTTGGACCCTTGGTCCACTTCTCTAGATGGCAGGAGTCAGCATCAGTATGCACAAGTTCGGCTGGAAGTGTGCTCGGAGGCAGTCCGTGCAGCTCAAGGAGGCAGCTCGGTAACGATAACTGCCGCAGAACAGCACGAATCGACAGCGGATAGAGTGTGAACTAACCCTTTGGCCATCTTGACGGTGGTTATGAAGAACTAAGGACTATGATTGAGAGGAGAGAAGGAAGGGCAGTGATGGGTGGACGCAAGAAAAAGATGCGAAGATGCGAAAAAGAAAGATGGAGGAAGTTTAGAAGCGGACAGGTATTTTTCAAAGGGATTGGGAGCTCGACTCGTGCTAAACCTAATATGGTAAGGCCCGGATCTCCCTCAGCACAACCGTCAATGCGAGGTGCTTGTGTGCACTTTTCCCGAGCGACCAGCGAAATCTCAGCACTGTCCGCCCCGGGCAATTATCGTCCGCAATCAAAATTTTGTCTCCGCTGAGGGAAAAAAAGATCACTCTCTGCACAGCAACCGGCTCGCCCGTGGCCCCTATCGCGCTTGCCCGGGGGATGGTGTCAGGCTCTGATCAGCCACTGGACGGCTCCTTCGGTTGCCTACAAGACCATCGCACTCAACCAAAGTAGTTATTTTCTCCAAATATCGCCCATTCTTCCGCCCATTTTTCCGGAAAGCAGTCTTGCTCCCTCATCGATCCACAGCTTCTCCAGAGATCTCCAGAGAACCTTAACCGGGCCGCATGAGGCTCTTTAACAGGTACGAATACGAGTGGAGGGTTTTGTAATCCTTTTGAACACGCTCCCTGCCTGAAAAAGGAGGTACTGAACACACCTATGTCGGTCATGGGAAACATTGAGGACATCGAATACCGAAACATGAGGGGTCCCACTAAGGGCATGTGAACCTGATCTACCGAGTACATCCATCACAAGAAATGGTGGCAAGGCTGAGGGGGCGTCGCTCACCCTGACCTAAGTTTGCTTCCCCTTTTCCTTCCGAGGTCCAGGAGTTCAAAAGGCTCCATACTTGGTATACACCTCCACAATAATCAAGCAACAGTATCGACTTCTGTCTTCGACTTCTTGTTCCTCCTTCTCTTCTTTTTCTTGGCTCCCTCTGTCCTGATGTCTACTGCAGCTTCATCTCCTTCATCCCTGTCTTGACTGGCCTCAGGCTGCGCAGGAATCAAATTGCTTGCCTGCAATCCTTCCTCGTTGCCAAAGGTGTCCAACCGCCACTTCCTCAACCGTGCTTTCTTCCCCAGATTCTTCAGGTCCTTGCGCTTCTTCTCTGGATCGCGGAATGATGCCAGTTTCTTGAGCCCGACAAACTCATTCAATTTCTTGTCATCGGCTAGCAATATATCTCTTGCAGTAAGACCAAAGCTCTTGGGAGATGTCTCACGGTATGTGAATCCACCAGTCTTCTTGTTGGGCAAGGATGCGTCGAGCTCCAATTGAAGTTGATCAGCCACTAGTTGCTCAATGATCCGTCGTTCTTTCTTTGTGTCCCGCTTGCTCTCTTCCACAGACCGCTTGACTTTCTTCGCCTTCTTTGGAAGAGGTTCTTCATCAGTCAGACTGAAGTCCGCTTTATCGTTTTCTTCGAAATCAGGCACTATGTCCTTGATGTCCAGGTCGTCGTCAAATTTGGGCTTTCGAGGTTTCCGCTTTTTTCCACCCGTGTCGTCGTCGCTCGGGAGGTCTTCCTCTGCGTAGTATTCATCGCCAAACCGTTTCTGCATCATCTCCTCCCATTTGGTGTCATCCCAATCGTCGTCAACCAAGTGCGCCCAATCCTCTGGCCGCAAGTCCTGAGTCTTGATACCGGCAGCCCGCTTGATTCTGCGCACCTTCTCTTCAAGCTCTTCAATTTTTAACTTGCGAAGACGGGCTTTTTCTTCCTTTCGCTGCTGCTTTTCAGCTTCTTTCTTCGCCTTCTCTGCTTCTCGCTTCTTTTGTCGCGGATTCGCCTCTTGTCTCCGAACAGAGTATTTGGCAGCCAAGTCTCGCGCATGAGAGCGCAGAGTCTCATTTGATTTCTCAGGGTCCTCGAATCGCAGATTGTATGCCTCTTCAAACTCATCTGCTCTCTTGTCTTCTTCATCGTCGTCCGACTCGAAAGGGTGCAGATTAGAAGGATCCGGAGCCGCCCAAGCCCGAGAGGCCATGAAGTTTGACAAGAAAGTTTCAGGATCCTTTTCCGCGCTTTCCACGTCCAAAGCAACCTCAGATCTAGGTAGCTTTTCCCTTCTCTTCGCGCTGAGAAACTGATGTTCGTCTTCTTCGTCCCCGTCATCCTCGTGCTCTGCGGCAGCGTTGATCTCTCCAATGATGGACTTCTTTAGCTGCTCTTGCTCTTGGTTGTAAGTCAGAGGGACAGGATCTTCTTCTTCCGGCTGGACACCACCATTCAGTAAGGTCTGCCTGTGGTAATCTTGAAGGTGCATCGGCTTCTCCTTTCTGGTCTTCGTAGTTGCATCGCCCTCGTCGTTAATATCGGTGTAAAACGTGACGTTTTTGTCATAAACACGGGGATCTTTCGAACGAATTGCGTTGAGGGTTGCCATGATCTCCGAATCAAGGGCTTCTGTGGCCAGCTCCCCTTCATCTTCGGACTCGCTGGTCGAGTCATCGTCCGAGGCAGAACTTTCGTCGTCACTGGAGAGAGATTCGGCTTCACCTCGCTTACGCTTTCGTGAGCTGGAGGATTTGCCCAGCTTCTCCTCTACTATACAAAAGATCAGTTCAACATGTTCTCATCACTAGGAGGGAGAAAGGTCCATACATCTCTGTAGTTCCTCTCGTTTCTTGTTGTGCTCAAATCGGCGCGCATACGCCTCATTGACCTTGAGTTCGCCGCTTGGTGGGACATCGGCACCACCATCCTCGCTGTCGGACGAGGAGTCGCTACTAAGCAATTCACGAGCCATAGTTTGTAAGATACATATGCTCAGAAAGACGGAAACTGTTCTTCTGTCCTGGGCGAATTTTGTCGGATTGGCCTTTCAATTCTCAAAAATTTCTCCGCATGCCCAGACCCAGATAAGCCTGGATGGAGGAGAAACAGACGGGTATTAGGCAGGTACACCGAGTGGCTTGGGGACCGTTGCAGTGTTGGTACCCATCAGGTACTACATCTGTAGTAATTGGTGTGGCGGATGCTTACGCAGGCGCCTGCGAGATAGTAAGATCCGGAGTAGGTACCTCGACCTCCACATCATGTACGAGTGAGTATACCGTATGCAGGGTTCGCGACTTTGGTTTCTTGGAGACGCGATTGTATCGATTACCTACCAGCCTACGTACCCTACTGCTACCACTTCTCTAGCAACATTATTCACCGCACGATCTTCCTGAATCAACTTACTCTGCCTTACACGGTACTCGCCTCCTTCGTTGGCTCGCTATCCTCCAGGCCGGTCTCCGTCAGGATCGCTTCTGCAGAAATGAAGGCCCATACATGATTCAATCCAACTCCTGATTCTTCCACCATAAGTTCCGCGCCTCTGCACGTCCAAAATGGCGCAGGCACCGCCGCCCGTCGATGACGTCGGAAGACTGATCAATCTGATTCCTGTCGGTTTGAAGGAAGCTGCGATCGATTCGCCCACCGCCCGCGCCACCGTTGTTCACTATGGAGAGCAAGTCGATCTCCTTGAGAAATGGCTCGACGACTATGCCAAAGCCTCCACGAGACTCGTTTCCGAAGCCCTGACCCTAGAAAATGTCCTCAACAACTTCATAGCCCACGCCGTTCTGCCCGTGAACATCTCCGAGTCAATGCTGGATCATGACTACAGCATCCTGGCTATGAAAAAGTTCGCCGAAGGCGCCAAAGACTATTGGATGAGCATGATAGCAGTGGTCAAGAGATTATCTACCATGGTTGTTGATCCCATAAGGCAATTCCTCCAGAATGACCTGCGGGCTTTCAAAGATGCGCGCCGAACGGTAGAGGCTACTCAGAAAACCTTTGAACATCTGCAAGGAAAATATGCTGGGTTGGGCAAATCGAAAGAACCTTCATCGCTCAGAGAGGAAGCCTTTCAATTGCATGAAGCCCGCAAGCTCTACATCAAGGCGATCATGGACTTCTCCAGTATGGCACCACAGTTTCGATTTGCTCTGGATAAACTCCTGGTCAAGGTCTTCTTTGAGCAATGGCGTGAGATGCGGCTCTCGCGCGACAATACAGCCGCGACGTTCCAACGGAGCGCTGAGGAGATGCAGAGGATTAAGGGCTGGCTCTCGGAATTGGAGGCCAATGAAAAAACATTCCGCAGAGAGCTCATGATGGCGAAGAAACAGCTGGAGGATGCCGCCGAGCTTGAAACCCGGCCTTCACGAGAGTTGGAGGATTACACTTTGTCAACTGTTCCTCCATTTGCTGGTCATGGCCATAGCGCCAGCACTTCAACCCTTCAACGCTCACCCAAAAAGCCCACCTCCCAAACCGGTGAGAAGCAAGGCTGGCTGTTCCTCCGAACCTACAGTGGGAAACCAACGCGAA